TCAAACTCTTGAGCGAGCTCTTAACCAACTGAGCCACTCGGCCGACCCTTTCATCCCTCCTTTTAAACAAGGCACACTGAGTATGATCTGATCGGTTTTCGATAACTTAGGCCTATGGGACATCAAGGTCCTTTAACTGTAGCTGGCCCCAGGTACCTTTTCAAGCTCATCTTAGTTACACTCTCATGTGTCTTCTGGCTGCACAGGTTGTGGTAGTGGGAGTTTTTAAACCTAGGTAATCTTATGCCAAAGCCTACATTCTTAACCTCTCAGCTATCCTGCCTACACAGCAGATCCCTAATGAACATTCGCTGAAAAACTGAATTATACTGACTGCCACACAGTGCTGTTATGGAGTGAAGTGCTCAGAGGCCGCTCAGCTGAGGGCTTCCTTCTCTGTACGCTACACTTCTCTCCTCGTGTTCTTTTACAGGTGCTTAATCCATTGTTAGGCATGGCTGCTAGTTCTCACTGCTGTTATCCCAGTATCTGTCGCTAGCAGACTGTCCCTTCTCACATGCCACAGGCTAGGACACCAGATAATCAGGATAGCTATGGTAGAATAACACCTAAGTCATCACAAAACTTCACCATCAGGCTGTTGGAACGATCTCTCCTACAGAATGAAGTATATAAGGTTTAGTGATGGTTCAGAATGATTCTTTTTGTTTTCCAGGCTAGTTTTTGTTTAACTTCTGTGTTCTGCAAAGTTGATGACGCTGGTCTCAAATCTACGTAAGTGGCATTACTTATAAAATTAACAGACTTATTCTGTTCTGGGAGGTGGTACATTTACTATACCTGTAGTTTATTAAATAGATTATTCTAATATAATTGGGGCTATGTACAAATAAGTGAAAATTACCTTGTAAATAATTTTTACAAGCTCCATCGCCCTAAATGATTTTTCAAAATCATTACGCAATAATGTAAGAATTTGCTCTTCTCGAATATTTCTGTGAGAAATGTACTGCTGAATTTTAGCTTCTGCATCATGGATTACCGGGCCATGTCCTGAATTAGAATAATTACAAAAATTATTTCAACCAGATAAAAAGTATTAAGTATAAGTGAAGTTAATTCATTCTACTTAAAAATAATTCATATGATGTATTGAAATACACACCAAAAAAAGAATTATTTGGAAAACTATATACATGTAAGAGATGTAAAATTTATGTATAATGCCAAAAAACATTCGACAATTATATCAAAATCTAGATAAAATGTTATTGTGCACAAAACTATAAAATTAGAATCTAAAAATAAACACACTAACCACAACAGTAACGATAGGTAATATTTACAGAGTGCTCATTATTTTCCAGGCACTGCTTAGCATATATTATTCTTACAAACTGCCCTGAAGTGGGTACTGTTGTTATCCTGTTATAGCAGAAACTGAGGCATAGGGAGAGTAAACTACCTGCGCCCTGCTCCACAGCGAAGGAGGAACTGGGATTCTGACCCAGACGCTTTTCACCACTCGATGCTCTTAGCCACTATGCTACCCTCACTTATAAAAGACTGAAAAGGGGAACGTAGAGGAAGCCTGGATGCAACGAGGCCCCTGGCTCACACAGACAGACTTGCCATGGAGGAGATTTCAGCGTCCACACTCTCACTCCTGGGGCCCTCTCCTACACTCTGGCTAAAGATACCACAGTCAGACCGGGCCCAAGGTCACAAAGGTTTGTCTCCCCAAACTGCCCCAGACCCCCTCCAAAAGTAGCGGTGACTGACTTATCTAGACTTGGACAGATGAAGCAGCTTTATACAAACGCAAGACAGGCCACAAGCCCTTGATGATGACTCATCACTTGGATGAATGTCCACATCGTCAAGCTCTAAAAAAAGTGTTTGCTGAAAGCAAAGAAATCCAGAAATTGGCAGAGCTGTTTGTCCTCCTCAGTCTCGTTTACGAAAGAACATTCTCCTGATGGTTCATATGTCCCCAGGAGTATGGTTGCTGACCCATCCCTGACAGTCAGAGCCGACATCACTGGAAGGTATTCACATCGTCTCTGCCTATGAACCTTCGGACGCAGCTCTACTGCCCGACAACATGAAGAAAGCTCTCAAGTTGCTCAAGGCTGAATTGTAGAGGAAAAGCAAAATTTGCAAGCTCTTCCCTGTGTTAGGCCTTGCGACTTGGAACCAGCAGAGATGTCAGAAGACACTGGAGAAGGCAGAGGCACGGGTGGACATGCTGGTTAGATTATTGTTTTAGATTTTTTTTGTTTTGTTTTGTTTTTAGCTGAGCCATCCTGCTTCCTGTTGGCAGCTCAGCGGCTGCTCAGCTCGGGCTGGACTCGAACCGCTGTTGCTCAGAGCTCAAACTCTTGAGCGAGCTCTTAACCAACTGAGCCACTTGGCCGGCCCTCATGCTGGTTAGATTATGATTTAATGTCACAAGAGCGGTTTTTAAAAAAAATTTGGTTTCAAGTTATACATATATGAAAACAATATTGTATACTACCATAGTGAGCCATACTTAAAAAAATATATATCCTTTTGGGGGGTGTTCAAAAACAAAAAAGGGGGAATGTAAAGGTAGCTTCCTGTCAGTCACCAAGAGCTATTAAAAATTCACAAGGAGGGCCAGCCGAATGGCTCAGTTGGTTAAGAGCGCGAGCTCTGAGCAACAGGGTTGCTGGTTCGATTCCCCCATGGGCCAGTGAGCTGTGTCCAAGCTGAGTGGCAGCTGTGCTGCCAACGGGTGGCCAGATGACGACTAGACTTGGAGCTAAGCTAGCTGCGCCCTCCACAACTAAGATTGAAGGACTACAACTTGGCTGTTACCCTTCCCCAAATTCCCCAATAAAATCTTAAAAAAAAAAAAAATCACAAGAACCACAGTGCGACTTTAAGAATGTTATGTATAGGCTAGTAATTCAGAAATGCTGACAACCCAGATAAAGTTATGTTGAAATTTACTTGGTCTTTAAGACAGTGCAAATGACTATTCTACACAAGTGTGCTAGAGGGATGTTTAAAATATCCAGAAGCAGGTTAACTTCTCATCACACACAGAGCCTGGGCTTTGGTTAGAATTCCGACTCATGTACCAGCTGTGTGGCCATGAAAGTCTCTTAATCTGTGAGCTGGTTTCTTGAGCTGTGCAATGTGCCTACTTCACTGGGTTTCTGGGAGGACCCGAGCTAGCTGTAAAGGTCCCAGCAGGTAACTGAGAGCAGGCTTTAATGTATGGTAGCTATGGCTACAGAAGATAATTTACATAGATGCTCCTGCTGTGCTAATAAGACAGTTCGCTGGATTCACTAAAGCTAACACTCTAAGAGCCTTTACTAAGCAGCCTCTCATTAGCTTTGCCCAACTGTGAGTGCATCAAATGTCTATTCTCTTTGCTTTAAAAACAGCTGTCAGCTCCCATTCCTTCTGTTTCATAGTATTGATCCAAATGCCCAGGTTCACTGTGTTTCCTGCCCCCTCCGCAGTGGTTACGCATGAGAGAATATGAGGGTACTGAAGACACTATTTTCAGATTTTCCCATGGCTCTCTGGTTAGGAACAAGTGAGAAGGACTTAAAAAATGAAGGAACCTAGTTTCTTTTTCCTTCTGGGCCCTTTTGTTGGGTTTTGTATCTGTCTTAGCTTTCAGGATGGAGAGGTGACTCATATTGAAGAGCAGTGCATTGTAGTTGAGCTGCTAACAACAGGTTTCTTTTTTGGAGAATGGAAATAAATATACCTTTTTTACAGTTGACACAGAAGCTATTGATATTTCAATAGTGTGAGTTAGAAAAGTAAGACTCAAAGGTCAAATGCTACCCAAGGCTACATGGCAAAAATGTGGCCCACGATGCAAATCAAGTTAACAAAGTTGAAGGCAGCTTATGGAATGCAAAAATTTTGTTGTTCCCATGTAAGTTCATTTCCTTTGTTTAATAGTTCTATTAATAGCTGTTTCAATGCTAAAAAGAAACCCCCTCATATCTTTTATAAAAAGTTATTAATATAACTCTTGGCCTTCTTTTTAACTGCATGGCTGGACAAGACTTAGGGGTATAATTTTAAAGAAGCAGTTTATATGTCAAGGCTAAAAACACAAACATATACAGACAAACACATATGTATACAGACAAACCAAAATGAGCCTTCCTCATCATTTGACAGAAATGGTTAGCTAGATTTAGAAAATTACCCACCTGGATATATAATATTAGCTTTGATTTTTAATAACTCTTTTAGGGAGTTCATATAATCATAGAGGTCTTCAAATACAGTTGTTCCTTCTCCTAGGATGCAATCTCCAGAAAAGAGAGCATTTTCCTCTTCTAAAAGTAGGGCCATATGATCGTCAGTGTGGCCAGGTGTGTATATAACTCTGGTTGAAAGAAGAAATAGTAACAATTATGAACTCTTAAGCTTAGAAGGAATTTTGAGAAGCAAATTATTCTCTATCCTTAGCTCTGGACAAGACACAAATAAATGATGTCAGTGAATTAAAAAGCTTTTTTTCTTGTCACCCACTGAAAATTATCATCAGAAAATTTCTATCCTTTAACTAAATCAAATTTCTCACTCTGAAGTGCAAATTTAATACTGTTCCCATTTTTCCCCTTATTTTATAAGTATATAGTAAGTACTGATTACAAAAAATTTGGAAAAGTACTTAAAGGAGATAAAATTCACCAATCTTTCCACTACTTAGAGACAGTGCTTTTATTATCTAAGAACATATTCTTTTTTCAATTTTCTTTGTGTATCAGGAGGCACATTTTACAATACACTTTATGGCAAGATTATGAGAAAAAATCACTTTCATATGTTGCTGGTGGGAGAGCAAAATGGTACAGCCCATATGGAGGGGTATTTGGAACTTTCCAGCAAAATTATTAATACAAGTGCATTAACCTTCTGACCCATCAGTCTCACTCACTGCTAGAAATTTACCCCAAAACACACCTTCACAAATACAAAAAATATGTACAAGTTATTCATTACATTATCTGTAATAACAAAACATGAGGAACAACCCAGATGCCCACCCCTAGGGCACGATGGGTAAATTACGGTATAGCCACACAATGAAATACTATACAGCTATCAAAAAGAACAAGGAAGATCTCTGTAAACTGATATGGAGCAATCTGCAGGATATACTGTCAAGTGAGAAAAAGCAAAGTGCCAAAGAGTGTTCCTAGTATGTTCTATTATATAAGAAAGATGGGGAAATAAAAAGAAATCTGTATATATTTACTTAGTTTTGCAAGATCAGGAAGAATAAATAAAAAACTAAAGAGGGCCGGCCAAGTGGCGCGTTGGTTAAGCACTGGCTTGGAATGCCAGAGGGCCCCGGTTCGGATCCCACATATGAGGGCCAGTGACACTGCCCTCTACGGCTAAGATGCTGAACAACAGCTCAACCTGGAGCTGGGCTGCCATGAGTTGCTGGCGACGGTGTACGCTGCAGCGGGTTGCCATAAGCTACCGTATATAGCCAGCAGCCCGCGTGAGTGCCCAGCAGCCACGGCCGTCCAGAGGCCGGCGACTGATCTGCCTCGCCCGGGAAGAGTGCAATGATGGTGCCAACTTGGGCCAGTGAAGCAGTGTCCTCCACAACTAGACTGATGAACAAAACGACAGCAATTGTCTGTTCCCCTTCCCCCGATTCTCCAGCGCTGTTCCCCTCCCCCAATTCCCCAATAAAATCTTAAAAAAACCAAAAAACAAAACAAAACAAATGAATACAGCTGCCTACAGGGGGTAGGCAGGTGGAGTGTAGGGAATAGAGGTGCAAGCAAGACTTCTCTAATTAGAACTTTTTAACTTTTAAGCAATGTAAATATTTTATATATTCTAAACATAAAAATAAAACCTTGATATCAAATACAGAAACCTTACTGTACACTAATAGACAATATAGCCACAGTAAAAAATTAAATCAAATTAAGTTTTAAATATAATACTAAGACTGTACATCCTTAATAGAATATATATTAAGATCAATAGAATTACAAAGATATCTTGAACTTTACTCAATAAAGTGTTACAGGTTACTGTGTTTCTGAAACTATTTTGCATTTGTTGTACACTGGTATAAACAAGTGAATAAATTCATGTAAGAACCAAGTTTTTCACTGTGGGAGAATTAAAAAATATACATGGAATCAGGGAATTAAAGCTTTCGGTTGTTTATTTGAACTGAGGAATCATGAATTCATCATCTCCTTTCCCCCCCCTAGCTTTGTCTATAAAAAGGCTCAGAAGCAATGAGGTCCAGTAGTGACGAGCACACCTCACACTCAGTTCTTTGTTTCTAAATAGCATTTCCCATTCATACAAACCAAGGCTTCTTACAGACATGGCTGGCTCCAGGTCTGGGGCAGGGAAAGTAAATTGTGATATTGAGACATCTTGTGTGAGATGTTGAAAGACTGGGGGAGGCTATGTCAAAAGCACAAGGAAGCACTATAGTAATATTCAAAAAAGAGGGGGAATTTCTTCATTAAGAAGAATGTGAGCAAATGAAAAAAAAAAAGTGGAAGAAATACTAGAATAAGAAGTCACAATTACGCCACCTTCAATATATTAATTCAGGCAAGTATTATTTATAAGATGCTAAAACCGCTGGAGAGATTGTTGGGAAGCAGGACAGTCACAGAAATAGGCTGAAAGTTATTTCCTTTAAGCTTAAGTCACAGGACCATATTACTAATAAGCAACAGTGAAGCTCCACTAAAAAGATGTGTAATTGTCATTAGCAACTAAAGGCTTGGTATTTTCACAGAATAACTCTACTGAACATTTAAAGTCAGATAATTACACTACTACTAAACCTATCTCAGAGCATAGAAAAAGGAAAACTTACGAATCCCAAACCAACAAAGGGTGCACAAAAAGAAAACTACTACTCAATCTCAATAATGAATATCATTATAAAAATATTAATTAAAATATTAACAAATAGAATCCAAAAGCATATTTAAAAATAGTAACATTATGACCAAATAAAGTTTATTAAAAAAATGCAAGGGTGTTTCACTATTATAAGATCTCTGAAAATCATAATGAAGCTATGGAGAAAACTACTATGATCATCTCCTAGACACTTCAAAGGCATTTGAAAAAATTCAACTCTTAAATAACAGTATTTAGGAAAACTGAAATGACTATAACTTAGAAGAGTTTCTCCTTTGCCCAAAAATCCAATCAAGTCCTTAACATTAAATATTGAAACTGTAAAAACCTTTTAAAAGATCCGCTAAGAGTATAGATATAATGTACAAGAACATGAGACACTACTGTAATGGGAGCAATTATTATATTTTTGAGAGGCATTATGAACTGACATTAAGAACTATTATGCCTTTATGGTTTCCAAGTACATGCTTTACATATTGCAGATAATTACTATATTATAGTGGCATCAATGGTAAGGTTATTAAAGGGACGTTAGAAATCATGTCTTTTGTCTGATTAAACCTGCTGTAACTAGTTAATAAAATTATTTAGTGTTACAGGCAAATAATTTCAGGAGGTATAGTTCTAGCAACTATAAAAACAGGTGGGTGTGAATCTTATCTTATGGACCTTATGAACAATCACACATAGAAGGCATCTATAAACAGAACCTCCATCTTTTTTTTTAATGTACAAAAACTCATTTGGAGAACCATTCTTTTTCAGAGTCTGCAAACTCTTATCTGTCAAGGTGCTTGCAATGCCTCCTTTATGTTCCCCTCCCCTTCCCCATGCCAGAACTCAGAAATCGTTCTTTGATATTTTCTAGGCTGGAATCAGTAGGATATCTTAAATTAGGGGATCCAGAAATTCCAATTCTCCAGTCACCTGGGTGGCTAATGCTTTAATTTGCATAAAAACTGTGTTAAAATTCACTTCACACAGGCAGGAGGAGAAAATGAAGTGACATCAGAGGTGCTTTGCTACAGATCAGAGGAGCTGCAGCTGTGGCCGTCCCATTCATCAGGTAGTTTTGCCCTTCTGGGAGAGTAGACTTCATAAGAATGGCGCCCTTAGAAACTGTGGAAGTCAACAAAAGCTGTCAGATTAACTGAGAAATTAAACTTAGTTCACTAGAAAATTCCTGAGGATTACATCCAGAATCCTGAGTGAAAAACCTTGATAACTTGCTATTTTTTTAGAAATGGGTTCTTGGTGAGTATTCTCTCTCTCTCTCTCTCTCTCTCTCTCTCTCTCTCTCTCTATATATATATATATATATATATATATATATATTTATTATTATTATTATTTTTCCTTTTCAAAATTGGCATGTAGACAAGACCAACTGGACATCAGATATTTGCGGACTTAAGTAGATTTTAACCTGTTTATGGAACATTTGCTTAACAATGAGTCTTCTTGTTAATATTTAAAACAATTGGGTTTTACTGACTTTATAAAAATGGAAATTGGAAACCAATATAGTAAATGAAATGTAGCAAATTAAATTACAATAGCAAATTCAATGTTTTATTCAGATTTTAGCATAAGACTTTATATTTTGAGAAGAGATTACTAAGTCATTTAAAAAGTGTATCCTTTTTTTTTGATTCATGTTAGTTTTCTTTCACAATCGTAAAATAGATCCCCCTACTTATCTTAATCACAATGCCGTAAAACAAAAATTAAATGGAATTCAGATAATACTGAGATCCTTCGTATCAATTCAGTCCATGAAATAAGAGTCAACTGAGGCGGTGGGGCAGTGCCAGGAAGCAAGGACATGGGTGACACCGATACTGTCTTTAGATCTGCATGCTGTTCATATGGTTTGCTCAGTTTATAACAATTCACCACGCTGCATACTGATGATATACCTACACTTTTCTGTTTGCATACTTTAATAAAATCTTAAAATATGTGGTCTATTCATGGCAGCTGTGTGGTAGTTAACTTTCAAAAGCTGAATAGTCTTAATCTGCAAATTAGGTATAGATCTAATAGCCGTGATTCTGTGATAACTGATAAACCAGTGCTGTGAGACATTCCAAAACCTGAGACAGAAGACTCGATGGACCGCGGATAACTTCCTGTCTCTACCCTTTTCGTTAACTTGGCCTAGGGCTGGTGTGTGATGGGGGAGATTCAGTATTGTCAGAACACATTTTTTTCAAAAAGATTTTATCGGGGAATTGGGGAAGGGGAACAGACAAGTTGCTGTCCTTTTGTTCTTTAGTCTAGTTGTGGAGGACATCGCTTCACTGCCCATGTTGGTATTATCATTGTGTTCTTCCCGGGTGAAGCATATTGGTTGCCGGCCACTGCTCACGCTGGCTGCCAGCCAACTCACGGTAGCTCACAGAAGCCCAGCTCCAGGTCGACCTGTTGTTCACCATCTTAGCTGTAGAGGGCGCAGCGTCACGTGGGATCCAAACCGGGGGCCCTGCTGCTCAGAGCTGGTGTGCCAAGCCAGCTCTTAACCAGCGCGCAACTCAGCCAGCCCAAGAATTCTTTTTGAAGAAGTAGTAATGTACTGTTTGTTTTCCTTTGGTATCATGAGCAAATCATGTGAGATACTATCATATTTTCAACAAGAGCATTTTAAGAAAATTGTCAGAAATTAGTTGGTTTCTAAATTTAATTTTGTAAATCACTAGTGATGTGGAAAAAAGAGGACACTGGTTTGAAAGGGGGGATGGATACCCATTACTTTATTTCCTCTTTCTCATTCATCTGTTCCTCTACTCGCCTCTGTGTAAAGATTTACTATACGTAGGGTATATATTCACTGCCTTCTGTGTGCCAGGCTCCGAAGGTATAAAGATGAATCTGGTATCTGCTTGAGTCAGAGAATGGCCAGGTCATCATCAAGCCAATTTCCTCTTTTTCCTGGGCATGAAGTGAAACTGTATTTCCTAGCCTCCACAGTCAGGGTTGGCACATGACTGAACTGACAGCCAATGCCACAGAAAGCCTGGTCCATGAAAACCTCCCATGCCAGGGCTCTTCCATGCTCTTTCTCCACCCACTGGATTGATTTCGGTGACCATGGCAACCTTATTGAGGCCAGTGGAATCCGCAAGATGGAAGGATCCTGAAACATTACTTGCAGGAGGGTCACTTGCTAATCAGGAACCTTTTCTGGACTTTATGTGACTGAGAAGTAAACTTATTTAACATTTGAGCCATTCTACATTTCTGGGTTGGTTTGCTATAGTAACCGGCATTACTAACATTGTGAACCTAAGGAGTTAGTTACCTTTTAAGGAGATACCTACCTCCATATCAAAACATTACAATACAGTAAGTGCCATAACAAAATAATTAAAATTATATGAGAGTTAGAGGAGGGAGCAGTTAATTCTGCCCACAAGGGGTTCTTGAAGTAAGTAACATGTGAACCGAGGTTTGAAGAATCAAGAGATACGAATTTATCAGGGAGACAAGTAGCGGGTAAGGGGTGATGTCTGGTAAAGGGAAGGTATGCGCAAAAGCATGAACAGACATAATGCGCTCAGGAGTATTCGGGTATGGCTGCTTGTTTGCGAGGGGAGTGGCGGAGCTACGACCAGAACAGTGAGTGGTTTGGGGCCAGACTGTGATATGGTAAAGAGGATAAACATCTGGTATGTAGTGAGTTAGTCAAGATTTCAAGTGACGGAGTGCATGAAAGGTAGACTGGAAAGGGGAGCACCTGGAGACACGAATATTAAGCAAGAAGTAGTGGTAGCGGATGGGAAGGAAATAGGGACGGCATTGACAAATATTTTTGAGGTAAAAACTAGCTTGATTAGAAATGGTGGGTGTGGGGGAGGGGAAGTGATAAAGGTGAGGAATCAGCTTCTATCTTAGGAGAAAAAAATTTTTTTTTTTTTTTTTAGCTGAGTCATCCTGCCACCTGTTGGCAGCTCAACTCAGGCTGGGAATTGAACCGGCGACCCTCCTGCTCAGAGCTCACACTCTTAAAAATAAAATCTTAAGTACCGAGAGAAGATGTTCTGAAATCAGAAAGCAAGTACAGATCATAGAGGAGAGAGAACTATAATTAGTTCGGTTTTAAAATTACTGAGTTTGGATCCTTTTCGAATCCCTCAAGTAGGTAATGGGGGATTCTGGGCCTGGCGTAAAATGTATTTCCTTTAGGTATGGGTCATCTTTTGGAAATGAGGGCCTGAGAAAGCCCTGAATTTAATTAATGGGTAGATCCCTAAATCACCCCAGCAGGAAATGCTAATCTATTTTTTTTAACTTAAAATTTTATTTATTTAAAAAATGGTAATCATATAATTCACATAAATAATTTAAAAAGGGTCGATAGAGTGAAAAGGCTTTCTTTTTCCTTGTTTCTCAGGCAACCCATTTTCTCTTACCCAGACTAACCAATATCAGAGCTTTCGTATCCTTCCTGAGGTATTAACTTATATAAGCAAATATGCAGAAATCTTCCTTCTTCCCTTTTAATAACACATATACCCCCACCTAAAGGACACTTATGTACCTTAGAGTGGCGCCCTCCGTCTTAATCAAATCTCCATCCTGCAGGTAAACATACTGCTGCTCTCCGTCTCCTATAATTTCTTCTCTCTGAGGATTCCGTGGGAGTTTTTTAATGCAATAGGTAGTGTCTAGTGACAAAACATGTAAAATATTTAAGTCACACTTTAAATGGTAATTCAGCCTGTTAAGAGACCAATTTTCCTAGAGCTAACACTTGTGAATGGCTGTAAAAAATATTAACATTAAGAGACAACAGAAAATGGGATGAATTACAGCAGCATATCTCTGGGGTGGTAGCTATTTCTTCTGTCTCAACAAAAGAGCTTTTTACTCCCTCTGCCCTTCTAGGCCTTTGTGTTTTTCCAGTTACTTCTACTTTATACAAAAATTTGAAAGTAGTTCTTCCTAATCTCAGCTTGCTTTGATATCAAGATGGGTGCTGAAAATCAGTAATACACAGCCTGGGAACTTTTCTCTGTCTAGGTGCCTAACATATAGTAAAAGAAGTCATGGCATCATGGGGGTAGTTCATAATTAAAGGGTGGTAGTATCAAGTTCTTTCTGAGAATGCTGAAAGGAAGCCCCAAACCTGGGGCTAAGATTATAAAACAGAATAATGAATTTAACCTGTACTACCTCTCACTCACACAAAGATAATTAATTAACCTGTCAATATCTGACTGCCAATTATCTAACTAGTATAGAGAGTACAAGCACGATAACATCCAAGTGCTTAAAAACTGTCATAGTTGGGGAAAACTTACAAACAGGAAATAATTAAAGCACTATACTCAGTACCATTTAACGATACTAAATGGGCAATTCAGCTAATAAAAGCCAAAGGAGTTCAGAGGAAGGGGAAACAATTTGGTGAGGATGCATAAACACGATAGAGTTTGAGGTGTGACTTGCAGGACGAGTAAGATTGGAAATGGTTCAGAGAAACACTTGTAGAGAGGAACAGAGTTAGAAAAGTCATAGAAATGAGAATGAGCGTAGCGTACGTGAGACAACATAACGCTACCAATTTGTCTAAATGCAAAATACTGGCTGGGAAGAGTAGAGATAAAGTGGGATTAGTAAGATGAGTTCAGATCATGAAGGGCCTTAAATTGCCTTTCACAGAACAGAGGAATTTAAACTTTGCCATTATGTGGCCAATGGACACTCTTTAGTAAGAAAACAAAATAGCGTTAACAGATCGATCAATATGGCATTTGTGGCCATCAATATAGCGGCTGCAGGTCAGGAGACCGGAGGGGAAACATCAGAAAGAAAAGGGGTGACTGGAACAATCCAGCTGGTTGGTAATGAATACTAGGGCCAGGATGGTAGCAATGGCAAGACGGAGGGAGAAAAAGCCAGTTAGGGGAAAACTGGTAAGGCGCAGAAATCTAGCTAAGAACGGAGGATAAAGGAGATAGAAATATTACAATACAATAAAAATAAACTAAAACAACAACAACTGGAGCTTCCTTCTCCAGCCCCAGGCTTTATTATTTTGTATCTTAGAGGCTGAAGCTAAAAGTATGCTCTTCTGGGAACTGTCTTTATCATACAGTGACATGGTGAGGATTTTTCGTTTGTTTTTATTTTTAATCTGCATCATTTTGCCTTTCAGTAAAGAAGTGGAGGTATTATATTGTTATGAGATCTTTGGCAGACAATCCTTCCAAAAAACTCACAATTATCTCAACGTTACAAAACAAATGTCATACTAGAAAATAACTGTGTGTCAGTTTTTAAAATTAGGTGTAAATATGAAAGCACATATCCTATTCACAACAGTAATCTAAATGTATAAACGGGATGGAGGAGGGCATGCAGAAAGCAATCATGTAATAATACTAATATTACTTTTTAATAAAAGCTTACTGAGATATAATTCACATACTATAAAATTCACTCTTTTAAAGTGTAAAATTCAGGTTTTTTTAGTATATTCAAAGAATTATAAAACCATCAGCACTATATAATTTTAAAACATTTTCAAAACCCCTCAAAGGAACCCCGTACCCAATGCTAGTCATTCCCCAATTCTCTTTCTCCCAGCCCCTGGCAACCACTTATCTACACTCTGTTTCTATCATATAATTACTTTAACAGGAGGAAATCTCACTTTTTTGTTAATGTTTGAATAATGGATTATAACATCAATGCTAATGCTAATTATTTAAGCTGATACAAACACGTGATATTGCTGATGTATATTATTTTCTAATAGAAACACCTTGTAATTGAATAGCATAGAAACAAACATTGTATGCTAGGTCTTGGATGTGAAATAGTGGCAGAGACCCAACTTCAGCTGCAAATAATTATAACAAAACACATTCTTCAAAAACAAACTAAAAGAAAACACTCAAGCAGCCTGCGGCTATATAGTTCTCATGTCTGTTAAACTTCTGGCTCCCAGCAAGTCACTAGGAGTTCTGAAATTATATACTGATTTTATTTTAAAATTTTCTAAGCAGGCGCTTCGGGGTTACTGTATCTTCCCATAGAAATCTTATAAGTGGCATTCATAATTTTGGTGTGACCTGAAAAAAACACAGGGTAGCATTATAAAGTAGTTGAAAAAATGTCTGCTGTAACTAATGATTAAACAAAATAGTAAAACAATATGGAACAAAGGAAACAATAAAAAAACAGAATGGAATAAGAATGGCAGTGATTAAAGATTTAGAGAATGGAGAAATGTGTGGAACTTTTGGAGGAAGATTCTGAAAGGTACCCCTGTAGTTTCAGTACCGAGGAACTCAACGTCTGCATGCAGCTGGTCTAGGTTCAATAAAGCTCAGAAAGAAAGCCACTCCTCAAATATAATATTAAAATTTTAGTGGCTGTAAAGCAGTATGAAATTTCTCCTTGATTTTCTTTAAATCATTCTCATAGGTCATCTATTATATAAACGTTCATTATTTTGCATGGAACTCAACACTATTTTAATTTAAAGAAAGTCAAATGTTCATTAACAGGTGACTAGATAAATCGTGGTGTATTCCTACCATGCTTCTTACTTGGCAATGAAAGGAACCAACTACTAATATATGAAACATGGGTGAATCTCAAAGACATGGATGCTGTGTGAAAGAAGCCAGCGAGTGATTCTGTACATTTCCATTATGTGACATTTCAGGAGAGGCCAAGCTAGTCTATAGTGAAATAAAGCAGATCAGTGGGAGCTGGAGCTGGAGGGGAATCACAGGAGAGGGGAATAAGGGGATCTCTTTTTGGGATAATAAGAGTGTTCTTTGTCTTGATTGGATAGGTCACATTGGTGTTTACAAACTATGCACTTAAAATGGGTACATATAATGGATGTAAAGTCAAGGTAAAAAAAGTTGATTTACAAAGGAGAAAAAGCAGGCCTTAAACATTTTAATTTTTCAAATTGACCCTCATGCTAAAAAAGATGACCAAAGCTGATTAAGGAGCCGAAACATAGTTTTTTTAATCAACAAAATTTAATGGGCAGATAAAAAATGGTGAGGGGGCCGGCCGAGTGGCATGTTGGTAAAGAGTTGGCTTGGGAGTGCCAGCTCTGAGCAGCAGGGCACCGGTTCGGATCCCACATGAGGGACAGTGACACTGCCCTCTACAGCTAAGATGGTGAACAGCTCGACCTGGAACGGCTGCCGTGAGTCGTTGGCAACAGCGTAGGCTGCAGTGGGCTCCCGTAAACTATTAGGAGCAGCTGGCAGCCAAAGTAAGCGGGCGTCCAATGGCTAGCGAGCGACTGCCTCACCCGGAAAGAGCGCAATGAAAATACCAACACGGGCCAGTGAAGCGACGTCGTCCACAACTAGACTGAAGAACAAAAGGACAGCAACTTGTCTGTTCCCCTTCCCCGAATCCCGAATGCTGTTCCCCTCCCCCAATTGTCAAATAAAATCTTTAAAAAAAAAAAAGGTGAGGAAAAATCAGACTAAGAGAGAATGATTTTTTGCGGCATACAGTCAGTCCCCTTGGATAGGAAGAAAGGAGGTGACAGGGTAAGAAAGTCCGGTTAAACAGTTTTTTAGAATGAGCAGCCTGGTAACATTGGCTGCTATAGCTGAGACTATCTTTCTGTCTTAATTGTAGTTCCAAGGCCTAAAAAGAAGATACTTAAAAACATTTAAAAGTATTAGCTGAGTGCATACATGCATCCATTCCTTTTGTCAATGGACATTCTAGACCTCCTTGTCCTTCATGTGCGTTGCACATGCCAATCACACCCCCAGTCCAGTATCTCAGCTCCTGCAATGCCCTCTGCTGCTCTGCCCTCCTTCGATACCTGTGTAGCTTACTTCCCTCTCCCTGTCTAGCCCAGATGTAATAGCCACTGCCCTCTTCCACTTTATTCTCTGTCCCCTTTTTCTTCACTTACCTTTATATTTCTTCGTAATGCTGACCACCATCAGACCTATTCTTTTTTTGGTAAAGATTTTTTTATTGGGGAATTGGAGGAGGGGAACAGACAAGTTGCTGTCCTTTTGTTTTTCACTCTAGCTGTGGAGGATGTCGCTTCACTGGCCGATGTTGGTATTATCATTGTGCTCTTCCCGGGTGAGGCAGGTCAGTTGCCGGCCACTGGACGGCCGCTCACGGCTGCTCTTGGCAGCTTGCGGTAGCTCATGGCAGCACACTGCAGCCTATGCCATCGCTGGCGACTCAGGGCAGCCCAGCTCCAGGTCGAGCTGTTGTTCAGCATCTTAGCTGTAGAGGGCGCAGCGTCGCTGGCCCTAATGTGGGATCCGAACTGGTGCCCTGCTGCTTAGAGCAGGCGTCCCAAGCCAGTTCTTAACCTAACGCACCACTCGGCCGGCCCTGACCTATTCTTTATTTACCATTTACCTTCCCTACTAGAATGAAAGCTCCATGAGAGCAGTCTTTGTTGTATTCACTGCTACATCCCTTGTACCAAGAACAATGCCTGGATATAGCAGCCACTTGAATATTTGCTAAAGGAATGAATGAATGAATGAATGAATGAGTGAATGCATCTATGTGTGTGATGGTGGGTTGAGGGAATAAGGAGAGATGCTAAAGCATTAGGGCTGAATAGGTTTCAGGGACAGAGAATTTTCAATGCAATGATCTTTCACCAGTATTTCAGTATATAAGAATAAGAGCCTTAAAGTTATGGAAGTCCTGAGATCACGTTTAGAATGTGGACAATAATATTAACTACCCATGGAAAGTGTTTAACACAGTGCCTGGAACGATGTAAATGCTTAACAGTGGTTTATTATTATAAATCTGAAGTAGTAATTGGCATACAGACTAAATTAATTCATAACTGGGCAAAGGGGGAAAATAAGAGGGAGAAAAGAGATTTGAAATAGAAAATTTCGAAATTAGTTCACAAACTATTTAAATATAAGATATTCAGTTAATGGTTTACTAGCTTACTTTCTGTAATGGAAGTAAATTATTCTGAAAACACAGTTTCCTCAATGAGCTTAATTTATGTTTTCTGTTTACCGTTATTGATGTTTTTGCAAATATCTCCTATGCCTCCTGTATGATCGTGGTGCCAATGAGTCACTATGATTTCCTGGATTGCTGTGTTAAATTCGGTCAGAGCCTCCTTTAAACAGCTGATATATTCTGGCACTGCTGGTTCTCCAGTGTCAATGAGGATTCTCCTGAAAGTTAAATGGAAGATAATCACACAATTGGAAGAGAGTTAATATTAGCATATTTCTCCCACATAATTTACATTTAAGAGACAGCATAAATTGCTTTGCTTTCAAAACCAGCTGCATGCTACTTCATTCAGCTTTACTACAGTAATTTTACGTCAAATAAGTTCTTAAAGCTACAATAAATGTAAGTCTGCATAAGGAATAACGGCAATAATATTGAACACTTACCTAGCACTTAAAATAAATACGGCACTGTTGCAAAGAGCTTACGTATTTGAACTGTATTCCTCCTAACAACGATTTAAGGTAGGTATTGCATTACATTATCCAGAAATTATGTAACTTGCCCTGCTAGGTTACTCTGTAAATAAATGGCAGAACCAGCATTCAAACCCAGGTATTCTGGCGCTCGACTACGTGCTTTTATACACTCTGCCTTCGAGATACTTTACAATATCCTCCAATGTTTCATAGACAGGAAAGATTTTGATTCAGCGGTATTCTTAAAGAAACCTAGTCATCTGTACTCCATACAAAATTTATTATCACTGAAGCTTTGCATTGGCTCCCTTATATGTGAAAATGAAAACAGTAGAAAAGCAGGGGGAATATCTGAGCTGCTTTGTTTCTTTACCTAGACAACTCTTGTATTGATACATTTTTTTGCTTGTGGTTCTGAACCTCCCAGTATACTCTGTTTGCCCTTCCTCACTATTTTATGGAATGATGGTCTTTCTCTATGAAGTTTTCCTGAACTAAAGAAGTTAGGGCAACATTTCCTTCTCAAGAACCAATTAAACTTAATCCACATTTTATAGTAACACCTCCCTAAATTCAGGCTGGGGGAGATAAGATTAGTCTTGATGAAAAGATTGAGTCATTAATTCATCAATACCTGTTCAAAAATTATCTTCCATGTGCCACACCTTCCTTGCAAGACAAAAACCTTATTTACATTCAGATGGAGGGTGGGAAGGGGGAGCTGTGAAAACAAACAGTAACAATAACAGTGGCAGATAACCGAAAGCCTTTTTCTGAACGTTAACATGGGGTGACTGCCAGGAAGTAACTGGATGTCTGTTTTATACTGGATGGTTTGTTTCCCTAACCCTGTTCCCTGAGACCCAACAACAAACGGCCTCACATAGGGAAGGAGGGCAGTGGCTTTAAGACCCACTGGCTTCTCTCTACATCTTAAGTTCTGTAGAGCAGTGGCTCTACTTCACAAGCACACTGTGTTGTAAATGTCCCTTTTGGCGCCAAGGAAGCCAGATGGGTTATACTGGCCCAAGAGTGCATGATAAGGTCCTGTTGGCCGTGGAAATGTAAAAAGGAGCCGGTTTAAAGAACATTATGAAATAAGTGCATACCTATCGATAATTACTTTTAAATGTAAATGATCCAATCTACAGATACAGGGAGGCTGAACGGATAAGAAAAATCATCGAGACCCATAGATACTCGTATGCTGTCTACAAGAGACTCACCTTCAGATTTAAAGACACACAGACTGAAAGTGAATGGATGAAAAGATATTCCATGCAAATGGAAATCAAAAGAAAGCTGGGGTAGCAATATTTACATCAGACAAAATAGACTTTAAAACTAAGATTGTAACAAGGGACAAAGAAGGGAATTACATTAACGATAAAGGGATCAATCCAACAAGAGGATATAACCCTTGTAAAAAACTATGTACCCAACATAGAAGCAACTAAATACATAGAGCAAATATTAACAGACATAAAGGGAGAAATCGACAGTTATACAATAACAGTAGGAGACTTGAACACCACACTTACACCAATGGATAGATCATCCAGAGAGACAATCAGTAGGGATACAGTGGCATTAAATGACACATTATGCCAGTTAGAATTAATAGACATAGCGGAACATTTCATCCAAACAGCAGAATACACATTCTTTTTAAGAGCACATGAAACATTCCCCTGGATAGATCACATGTTAGGCCACAAAGCAAGTCTCGACAAATTTATGAAGCCTGAAATCACATTAAGCATCTCTTTCACAATGATATGAAACTAGAAATCAATTATAAGAAGAAAACTGGGAATAACACATACATTTGGAGGCCAAACAACATGCTACTAAACACAAATGGGTCAAGGAAGAAAACAAAGAGGAAATAAAAAAGTACATCGAGACAAATAAAAACAGAAACACAACGATCCAAAATGTATGGGATAGAGCAAAAGCAATTCTAAAAGGGAACTTTACAGTGATACAGACTTACCTCAGGAAACAAGAAAAATCCCAAATAAACAATCTAACTTTACACCTAGAGAACTAGAAAACAAACAAACAAAATCCAAAGTAAGTAGAAGGAAGGAAATAAACACAGAAATACAAACGATCATAAAGATTATTATTAACATCACACAGCTGCAAACTGGACAACCTAAAAGAAATTGACTAAGTTTTAGAAACAATATTCTAAGACCGACACAGAAAATCTCAACAGACTAATCACGAGTAATGAAATTGAATCAGTAATCAAAAACTCCCGACACACAAAAGTCCAAGACCAGAAGGCTTCACAGGTGAATTCTGCCAAACATATAAAGAAGAATTAATATTATACCTATCCTCCTCAAATGATTCCAAAAAGTTGAAGAGGAGGGAACACTTCCAAACTCATTCTACGAGGCCAGCATTAACCCTGATACCCAAACCAGAAAGACACTCTACAAAAGATAATTACAGGCAAATATCTCTGATGAACATAGATGCAAACATCCTCAACAAAATATTAGCAAACCAAATTCTACAATACATTAAAAGCATCATACACCATGGTCAACTGGGATTTATTCCAGGGATGCAAGCTTGGTTCAGTATCCACAAATCAATCAACATTATATACCACATTTACAAAACTAAGGCTAAAAATCGTATGATCATCTTAATAGATGCAGAAATAGCATATGACAAAATTCAACATCCATTTATGATAAAAACTCTCTACAAAGTGGGTCTAGAGGGAATATACTTCAACACAATAAAGGCCATACACGACAAACCCACAGCTAACATCATACTCAATGGTGAAAAGCTGGACGCTTTTCCTCTAAGATCAGGAACAAGACAAGGATGCCCACTCTCACCACTTTTATTCAACCTTGTTTTGCAAGTTCTAGCCATAGCAATTAGAGAAGACACAGAGACAAAGGCATCGAAATTGGAAAGGAAGAAGTAAAACTGTCACTATTTGCAGATGACACGATACTACATACAGAAAACCCTGAAGACTCCACCAAAAAACTATTAGAACTAAAAAATAAATTCAGGAAATCTGTAGGATACAAATGTTGCATTCCTGTACATTGACAACTATCAGAAATAGAAATTAGGAAAAACAATCCCATTTAAAATTGCATCAAAAAGAATAAAGTATCTAGGAATAAACTTAACCAAGGAGGTGTTATTGTACTCTGAAGTCTATAAGACACTGATGCAGGAAATTGAAGATGAAACAAATAAATGGAAAGCTGTATCGTGCTCATGGGTTGGAAGAATTAGTATTGTTAATATGTTCATACTACCCAAAGCAATCTACAGATTTAATGCAATCTCTATCAAAATACCAATGGTATTTTTCACAGAATGAGAATAGTCCTAAAATTTGTATGGAACCACAAAAGATCCTGTATAGCAAAAGCAGTCTTGAGAAAGAACAAAACTAGAGGTATCATGCTCCCTGATTTTACTACAAAGATATAGTAATCAAAACAGTATGGTTCTGGGCCGGCCGAGTGGCGCATTGGTTAAGAACTGGCTTGGGACGCCAGAGGGCCCCGGTTCGGATTCTTCATGTGAGGGCCAGTGACACTGCCCTCTGCAGCTAAGATGGTGAACGGCAGCTCAACCTGGGGCTGGGCTGCCGTGGGTCGCCAGCGATGGCGTAGGCTGCAGTCCCCTGCTGCAGTGGGCTGCCATAAGCTACCGTGTGT